TGTGTGTGTTGTTTTCGTGTTGTTTTTTGTTTTTGGGCTATTTAAAGTCGCTTTCGATTTGGCGATTTGGAAGTGTTCCAAATGCCGTGACTATTTCACTTAGAAATGTGCTAGCTAACAAAAAAAAAAGAAGAGCATTGCGCGTTCCAATTTATGTGACATGTTGGAAATGCTGCGTTGTTGTTGTCTTTTCTTGGGGCAGCGTTCATTGACTTCCTGCTGAGCATATTTTCATTTATGGCTAAAATTTGGCATGCCAAAACCAGGTGAGTTATGAGCTCAACGAGGAAGTTTTCTTTTACTAAATAAAAACTTTGGCTCTACTTTCTGAAACTATTTTGAATATCTATCACAATCACAAACCTAAGAACTTGTGAATCATATGCACAGAGAGACAGCACATACAGCATGGCCTCTGGGGCGTAGGCAGTCCCACAAATTCTAGGGGCCATAAATATGTAAAAAACGCGGTCGAGGTCACGTACTGACATTTTCGATAATGAATGTTGTTGCTATTGTTGTTCAGCTAGTTAATTGTTGTTGTTGTTGTCGTTGGCTATTGCTCAACTCTGGGCAGAAAATATGTCTGAGTCAACGAACCTCGATCTAGAGATACAGATACAGATACATTTACGTGCCCAGAGTATTCTGTTTTATAAATAGTCGCCGCATTAGAAGATCTTTTGGCCAGACGCACGAATTTAACACTCGAATGTGTTCAACATTTGCATGAATGTTGTGTGCGAATGAGAAGCGAAGCGAGAGGCGCACAAACTTGTGCGTCATGCTGGTCGGCAACAATTGGAGGACAGTGTGTTGCAACTGGCCTGCAGAAGAAGCAGAGGCAGAAGCAAAAGAGGGCCCGCTGCTTGGAATTTATGTGGCCAGGCAGCCCAATTAGCATTTAGCTGGCAAAATGTAGTCAAAACTCATTTCTCATCTGGCGCCGGCTGGAAAAATTGCTCGAGTTTATGTTTAATGGACGCACACAAATCATAATCTAGCTCAGAAGAAACGAGAGTCATGAAATATTATGTAAAATTATTAAAAGTATGCTTAAAACGTGATTATGCGGACTGCAGTGGGAAATTGGGCGTATTACGTATACGAGGCGTTGACAAAATATATGGTTAACTTAGGGAAGGGCTCCTAATAATATATATATATGTATATATATAAATACTTTTAAAATAGAGAACAATTTAAAAAAGTTTTTAAAAAGAAAAAGATGTCTTACAAAAGCATAGATAAAATTATTTTCTTTTATTTAATGGAAGTAAAAGCAATTGATTGTAGGGATTTGGAATTTTTCTTGTTTTTCAATAAGATTTTTGCCAGCCTAAGGTAATTATTTTATATAAATATATAATAAATAATACTTAATATATAACATAAGATCCATTATATATAAGTATGTCTGTCTAATAAGTAAATGATCTGCGTATCGGGTTGAACTAAGCATCCACACAAAGTCCTGGGTTCAAACTCCACATAGTCAAGTCCGCAGAAATACGAATGGAATGGAATAATCTAATACTCTTTAAATAAGTTCTTCATATAGATCTCAAAATCTTGAAAATTTCAAAAAAAAAAACTTTAAGACTTATCTAGAATATTGCCAAGAACAATGATTAAGCAGCCGCTGCTCAGGTCTTGCGTCTACATCGATTCTAAAGAAAAGCAACAGCACAATAAAAACTTCATTTGCCTACATGTAACTCCTCTGTACAGTTCTGAGCTTATATTTCAATTTTTCGCCCACTGTGCATTCACTTTTCTTCGGCCAATAAATTCTGCTTACCCCCTGGGCTCGGGCTCCTCTTCTGGCAACATGGTTGCCAACTGGGCGCCGCTGCTGCCTCCTGAGTGCATCAAAGTCTCAATTGCAATCACAACAGAGCTGAACGGAACATCTCAAGTTCAGTCGCAGATTAGTCACGAACTTTTTGCATAAAATTCTGGCTCATACTTATTTTATTTTTTGTTGCCAGTGTTCTGAAACTGGAACTGCCGCGCTGCAGCTGAGCTGCGGTTCAGGTGGGTGGGTTGAGCGTGTGCAAAATGCATTAAGAGGCTCGCCAAATTGCCAAGACCAAGAGTCGTGCAAAGATTGGGAGTGGTGGCAGCCAGCCACAAGCCGCCACAAGCCGCCACGAGGCAAAAGCCATGCACCAGCCTCCACTTTGCGGCACCAACTCGACTGAACTCAACTCAACTAAACTCGACTCTTGGCTGAGCTTAAACAAAGAGAAAGGCGTTGCTCTATGGCAATTGTTGTTGTTTTTGTTTTTTTCTTCTCGGTTTTAGGGCTCTCGCTCTTCAGTTTGTAATGAGCCGCAACTATCGCAAATAAGCAGCCGCTTGGCCACACCCACACCGCCTCCACACACACACACACACACACACACACACACACTCACATACACACCTGTCCAAGTCTTGGCTTCTTATTGCCAGCTGCTGGGGGCCTGCTCCAAGAACTTGAAACAACTTCATGACTCGCGACTCAACTCTCAACTAATGGCTACGAATTTGGCTGCACACTTTTGAAGCTAAGTTGATTTTTATTTGCTCAAAGAGCCAAGCCTCTAAAATTGAAGACTACCCCCCTCCCGCCCTGCTACCCCTTCTGGGCTGCGCCTCTTAACGTATCGAACAAGTTCTTTGTTTTTTCGCCGTGCCTCTTGCAGCTCATAATTAGATATGATGATAAAAAAAATATATATAAAAAAAACCATAATACAAACAATTTTCTGACTCGAGTCGCTGTAATGACGCAGAAAATTATCTAGCGGAAAATTCCAACAAAATAGATTTTCGATTTTCGAAAAGTGCTAGGCTACAAAATGCTGCAGCTCGTTTAAATATTTAGTCGACGATCAAAATACTGCAGGAAAAGCCATTGAACTGGAAGAGTTTCTGCTGGGTGTGGGAGTTAATGCACAAGAAATTGCAAGAAGGTGCAAGAAGATTAGAATAAGTAACAGATAGCTGGATGAAGATCTGATAAAGATGTACAGTTAAAGCAAGATTGGGTTTATGAGAAGAATCAGGAGATCTGATCTAATTGAAAATATTTTAAGTGTAGTCAAAACTAGTTGGATTTATAGAATGGAAAGGTCTAAGATGCACAGTGAGGTCTTCATAGACGGTCTACGTGAGCCTAGCAGAAGACCTAGTTAAAAAGCTGACTGCAGAAAATGCCAGAAACAAAGAAAGAATGGAAATATTAAAAAACTTGATTCTGGGTATTGTCACGGACAGATATATAGACCAGTTATAGATACTTAAGAGCTGTCGATATTGCTATACAAAATTTGCGGACAGAAAAAAGGAAAACCAAAAAGCTTTCAATTGCAAGTACGTCAACTTTCCCAGCACGTCCGTACCAGCTAAGTGAAGTTTTTCTAGTGTCCAATTTTGACCAAGGAGCTTGTCGAATGGATCAAAACAAGCAGCTGGCGCAAAGTTTGCCAAATGTCAAAATGTCAATGGAAATCATATACATAAAATCTCACGAATTGTAAACTAAAGAGGGACTCGAATATTCAATTCGATGGACGAGCGCCTTTTGTGACATTTCAATTTGTTTTGCCGAGAGGTAAAAAAAAAAAGGTACAAATGAGCAGCCCAACAGGTGAAAATTGAAATTTATGACCTGAGCTGGAGAAATGCACAGGATGTGCGGCAAACAGTCGCTGCAATAAGTAAGTGTCTGCCAGGTGTCGTTGGGTTATTTTTGTTTTTTTATTTCGACTTGTTCGCTTCATCATATTTATCGATTTCTAATGCCAAAGCTGACAGCTATTGTGGTTGTTGTTGCTGTTTACTTAGCCAACAGATGCCACATGATGCAAGAGTTCGTTGGGGTTAAACTGTTGTATGAAGATCAATGTACGATAACCACCAAGCGAGCTCTGCCAATGGTCATGAATGAGCGTGTGTGCGTGTGTGTGTGTGTGTGCGGTTTGGTGGGTGTCATTGTGCGGCATTTGGCGCTGCCACGCCCCCGCCCCATAGACTCACCTTTGACCGCTGCGTGTCAATTACATTTGTAATTATTTTTAGCAATCTTTTTTATTTTATTATTTTTTGATAAATTGAATATCGCACGCCGCAGCCGCTTGAGTGTAGCCAATGCGGAAAGCCTTTTTGGCCAATTCCATTTATCGATTAATCTTCACAAATACAATGGACGATGCATGCGCTTATGCAATGTGTGGGATTTGACCTTTGTGTGGCCGGGCGGGCTCGTCTGCCCGACGCAGATGACAAATGAGTGATGAAAATCTAAGACAAAACATTGCTGCCCATAAACGGAAATGGGATTGGGTGTCGACGGTCCTATGAGAGGAGTTGGCTGCACTGAAAACAAATTGTGGGAAACAATACAAAATATACGGTTCTAGAGTTGAGCTTGAAGCTTGCAGAGATTGAGCAAAAGTTAAAGTTAAAATTAAGGAAATAAACTTTAATTTTGAAGAGTTCTCATTAATTCGATCGAAATATAATCTGGAATATTCCTAAGATAAATATGAATCAGGCCAGGAATATGTACAAAATACGTTTTACAAGAATTCAGATATATAAATTAAATAAAAGTGCAATATATCTTTCATTATAATATATTACATTCTGACTTAAAAGCTTTCTGCAAAATTTTCGTTTATATTTTTTTCGCTGATAAAACTGAAAATTACTGATTTCTCTCAGTGCACGAGGTGCAGTCGATTCATTAGAGTTCTGAGAGGCAAAGTCTAGTCGTTTGGTCTGTGCCGCGCCCAACTAGGCAACCCACGCGCTTTCAGCGAACGTGGCAACAACTTCATTGGCAAATCGTCTAGTCAGCTAGTTGGTTAAGTCACGTGTCCAATGCTCGCGCCATATTAAGTATACGACATGATGTGTGTTCGCTTTCCAATTGGTTGTTAAATACGAATTGACACCTTTGCCCATGTCGCCACATGCATTCAATATTTGATTTCTTTCTCTATTTCCAGGTGTTGTACCATGAAATTGTATCACACGCTCGAGTTGTAAGCGCTTGCATTCGCGCCGCCTCCGAAAGGGAACGCGAACGGGAACAGTCGCAGTCACAGCCACAGTCACAGTCGCAGTCACAGTCCCAGCTACAGCAACAACCCGCATCTCTCACCAGCAATTGCTCTAGTGAATCGACTAGTGATTCGGTGACCAAATCGCATAGTCTCAGCAGCGGCTTCGCCTCTGATGCAGCACAGTTGACCACGCCCAGCAGCCAAGCGGCAACAACTGGCACTGGAGTCGTCGCAGCTGGCGGCGGCAGCACAGCTCATCCCAGGAAGGGTGAGGGCAATTTGGAGCGACTACGCGATCGTTATCATCTGATCTATTTGAAGGCCTTTGAGCTGCAACTCTGCCTCGACAATTTACTGCGCAAACGCAGCTCCACAGCGGTAAGTCTATAATTCAACAGATTATCTCTAATAATATGTTTGTGCATAAGAAAAAAAAAGAAATATATGAGCAGAAGTCGATTTATATTTATGCTTAGAATTTAGATGAATCAAATTTTTTAATATTTGATCAACTTGAGAATAATTTCTAAGTATATACATATAACAAACGGAATTTCAGATGAGTTTATGGCAAATCCACCTGATCGAGCGGAAATTGAGTGGAAAACTTAAGCAATGCCTAATAAAACCAGCTAAACTTTTAGATACTTGATGGATTGCAAGTGCCCTGATCTAGAAACCGTCAACTTGAACTTCGGGCAGCACGAAAATAAAACTCAATAGGATTTCTCCCTTAGTCTGCGTAACTGAATATTTTCCATTTTCTATTTTAAAAAAAGAAACAAAAATACGCTGCATGCGTTACATTCTTGGAAAATAGAAATTCAACCACTTTGATAGCTCCTCTTCGCGCATTGTATTGGCGCCGCTTTCCTTTCCTCTGCCGACGGCGGGCTGCCTTTTGTGTCCGCCTCACGCCAATTGCGGGCATTTCTAATTACGAAAGTGTCTCTCCTTCACTGATTTAATTAATTCATTTGGTGAAAATGCCGGCAATGCGTTGGCCAACAAGCCGCAAATGCCTCAAAAGCCATCAACTTGTTGGCCAACAACAGCAGCAACCGTTGACCAACTGATGCACACCCAATGCCAGAAGATGCTTCAAACTTCACAACAACAAATGTCTTCAAAATGTACAATTTCTCCAAACAAATAGTTGCGTGATTGTAGCTAATTGCAGGTTCTTTGCGTTTGAGAATGTGCAGCAAAAATTTATAATAAAAACTATCTTCAAAGAAAATATCGATATATGATATCATATTCTAGATAACATTTGTAGAATTTTTTAGATTTTTAGTGTATTTCACATTTGTCAATATTTATTTTAATAGAAGTGAAAGCCTAGAAATTATATATGCTATATAGAAATAGTTATTTTACTTAATGAGATACAAAAGTCCTTTCTTTAAAAGCCATTTAAATAATTTTCCATAGATGATGTTGAAAAACTCTTAAAATTTGCAATAGGAATTATGCATAGTATATTAATTTATTTATTTTAATATACGAGAAATTAACGTCTTTAGAAATTCAATTTTGTTCTAATCATCAACTAGAAAACCTTTTAAACCAACGCGTTCTAATTGGCAAGCAACCAGTATAAAATTTATAATACACAACATTTGATCTTCTTTATAGATTTATTCCGCTCAGCCATAAAGTTCCCCCACATTCTGGCTTAGTATATCGCATAACGTGTTCCTTTCTAGCCTTTCCAACATAATTTCTCGATTCTCTCTAGCCCACACAAGCACACACTATCTCCTGCTGCCTCTCTCTCCCACTCTCCCCCTCTCTCTCTCACCGTCTGTCGCTTCATCCCACTCACTTGACAGCTGCTAGTGAAAGTCTTTGCCTATAATCACATTGACCCAGTTAACAGAGCACTCCACCTCTTCCTCTAGCTCCCTCCTCCGGCAGCAGAGCTCGTGCTCTGATTTGTGCCACTTTAAACGTTTCCTGGTCAAAGTTCTGAGGCACCCAGCCCGCCGGCAACGGCTACCATAATATAATTGCAAACGCTTTGTAAGCCGGTCCTCCCCCCGGTAACAACATTTTAATTGTGTATAATTTAACAAGAGACGCCCGCTCCCTCTCTTTGACTCTGTCTCTCTTGGAGAGACGCCCCGACCCGTGCCGTGCCGTGCCTGGCTGTGCTATTTGCACTGGGATGTCGTAATTCATGCAAGGCACGCACTGGACTGACCCACACGGTGGGGCTGCCCTCTGTGGCGGCAGCTGCTTGTGTTGGCTGGCTGTCAAGCCTGCGGCTCTGGAGCAGTTCATGATGCAGCTTGAAACCGCTTCATTTGCGGCTGAGTTTCTCCTGCGAGCCACGGTGTTAGCCACGTTGAGAAGAAACAATTTCATTTTCCTGCATTTCGGTACGCTTGCTCTGATGCAACAATTTGCATTGCTGTGTTTGCCCCAAAGCTAGAACAACCTCTTGTCCCCCTTGTCCCCGGCCGCTGCATGTGGCATGACCAAATTGCCGCCGCCTATGCAATGTGAACACGTTGTTGCCTTATAATTTGCAACACTTTGTGCTCCACATTTTGGCTTAGCTAGAAGAAAAAAACGTCTCTCCATCGAGCGTGTTGCTGCCGTCTGGCAACATGTTGCCAGCAACATTTTATGCCTCATTATGGCCAAATGTCAAAATGTGCGCATTAATTGCGATTCTGCCGCTTTTTACGAGCGCCATAAAGCTAGCCAAAATGCACACACACACACACACTCATAGAGAAATATGCCTCATATAAAACGCTAAATTAAACGCGGGGCAAGTAAAAGTGAAATTTATGCCGACCCATTGCAACAAACTTGGCCCAGAGGTCGCGCTGGCAACTTCGAACTTGCCACCAGCCGCAGCGGCAGCTGCCAATGGAAAGCGGCTGGAAATGAAAATAAAAATAAAAATAAGAAAATAAAACTCAAACTTCCACAACAAATGAAAATAAACCAAATCAAATTTACGACGTGCCCAGCGAGACGATCGCGACTTCTCATAATATGCATTTTATTTCTGCTGGCCTTTTGTCTCGTCTCTCTCCCTCCCTCTCCCTCCCTCTTCCTCTCTCCGTCTCTCTCTTCTCTCCCGTCATCCTTCTCATTTGCTCACGTTCACATCAATTTTGTTGGCCCTCACCACATTCGATAAACAAATGCAGTTTGCAATCGAATTACAATGATTACACTTGATTATTATTATATTTGACTTGTTGTGTGGCTGCTTCCTCCTCTGAGTCTGCCGATCTCTTCTGTTTATTCTTGGGAGAAACAAAAAATGAGCAATAATATTTGTTATTATACAGATCTTCAAGCTGCAGGCCAATGCACCTTTTGATTGATTCACCGGCCAGCGTGAAGGCCAATACCAATATCTTTCAATACCAAGCGAAAGTGTTGAAAGAAATTCACATCTGGCAACATTTGTTATTGGATTCTTCTTGTTAAACCTGCTGTTAAAGGCAATTTGCCCTTGTTAAACTTGAGTTGTGGGAAATTTGATCTTGGCTGCATGAGCCAAACAGGAATGTCAAGAATTCTTTACGGTCCTTTGTGGCTGATATATAATGAGGCAATAATGTGAGAAAATACACATTGAAATTTGACTAAAAAAGAGTCTAAACTGTTAAGAAGGACATTAAGAGAGGAAGTCTTTAATATGTGAACCTCATATCTTCCCTTAATCTACCTTAATCTAGCTAAAGCAAGTTCTGTCCCTTCGCATTAAAACTCATTATTAAAAGTAAAAGATAATACATTTATCTTTAAAAGAGTCTTAAATTATTCAATTAATGTTTGCCAACCTTGAGGCACTTAACAATACTCAAACAAACAATCCTCTTGCAAGTCAAGACGTTTATCAACACTCATTGGACTAATTGGATTTCCAGTCGTGAACAAATCGAACAGCCAATTAACGTCGATCAAAATAAAGTTTACAATTTATGAATTTAATTGCCGCTCGTCAAATATTTAAATGTTGCGGCACATCAATCAAAGTCTAAAACATAAATCAAAAGTAATTCGAACGAGCGTCGCCTAAAATCACCAAAAACTCGGTAGCAGCTACCCGACAGAAAAGAAACCTAAAAATAAAAGAGCGAATGCAAATTAATGTTGGCCAAATTGCATATTTTGTTTAAATACCCTCTGCCCCATTTAAATGTATAAAACAGGGTATATAGAACTTCTGGCAAACCAAACAAAGATCTATTTAATTTTCGATAACACCCTAAAATTCTACTCAAATCGATAAATATCGATCGATATCCAAACCCTCTTTTTCTAGACTATACTTAAATGAAGGCACCAAATTTGATATGTAGACTCTTAATAAGACTTTTGAACTTCGATAACTCCTCGTTCAGGCTTACTAAAATCGATAAATATCGATTTCGATTCAGCATTATTTTTAATTAAACTCTCTACTCTGAGCAAGAATCCAAGGTAGCGTAGGGCAGAGCCATAATCGTTGGCTCTCTTCGTTTCTGACGAAATCGATATATATCGATTTTTAATTCCGCTTTATTGTAAAACCGATAAATATCGATTGCCAAGAATATTTTTGTTGGAGTTAATGCTGAGGCAAACAATGTAGTGGGTAATTGTTGGTAATGCAATAATGCAAAACTGAATACAGGGTATTAACTAGTCTAGCAACATGAACTAGGCTATTTCTCATTCCTTTCATAAATCGAACGAACAAAACGAGGCACGAAAATGAACGAATGCGCTTTGAATAATAATTGACGGGGCAAAATATGTCTGTCTGAACGATTGTAGATTTTGTTGTACGCGATTCGTGTTGCGAATCGGAACTGCATTTGCATGTTGAACAACGACATTTACAAATTGTGACTATTTAATTGTGTGTGGTGTGTGGTGTGTGTGTGCTGCCCCGGAAGATGCGAGTGCTGCAAAAAATTAAATCACAATAATTATGTAAATTTTGTTGTTGTCTTCAACCTGTGTACGGGGCGTGCCACCCACAACTGCAACGCGGAAGCTGCACCACTAATGGCCGTTGCATGCCACACACCAATACACATATACATGTATATTTACATGCCACACCAAAGCCAAACAATGGCCGAATAAAAAATGAAATAAAGCTTAAGTTTCACTTTCTGACGCGCGTTGCAAGGCCGTTTAAACGGCAGGCAGCTGGCGCAGTTCGGGCCAATATAATTACCGCCTCCCGGTCTCACTTTCGTTCGGGGCCTGCTGGACAGCACCACGGTAATTAGCCGCTAGCCAGCAACAACAACAGCAACCACAACAACAACAATAACAACAACAACAACACTTACCAATATGCTTCGTGTAATTGGAAGCTTGACCAAAAACGCTCGTCGTGCGGTTTAGCAGGC